AAAAAGAGAGAGATGATAATTAAGTAAACAAAAAAACATAAAAAATTAACTAACTATAATTTACAAAGATAATTAAGTAAATAATATTGGCTACGGAAATCCGGTTCTAAACCCCCACCGGGAACCCGATTGGAAGTCCGTCTTTTCCCACAAGTCTCTCGTGCCTGGCGGTCGTAGTGTGCCAAGTTTCGTGCTAAAAACCGACGCCGTTTGGAGATTTTGGGGCGTTAACACCTCAAATTCAAATTCTTAATAAAACTGGTTTGCTAGACCAAAATCTAGCTCTAAACTCCCAAACTGGGAGCCCGATTGGAGTCCCGTATCTCCCAGCAAGTCTCTTCCGGCCTAGGCGGTCGTGTGTGCCAAGTTTCGTGCTAAACCGAATCCGTTTGGAGATTTTGGGGCATCAACACCTTGCCAATTCAAATTCTTTATAAACTAGTTTGCCTAGACCGAAATCCGGCTCAAACTCCCAAACCCAGGATACCCGATTAGATCCCCTTCGTCTCCACAAGTCCTCTGTGCCTAAGCCGGTCGGGGTACAAGTTTCGTTCAAAAATCGACGCCATTTATGGCGATTTGGGGCATCAACTACCTCAAATTTCAAATTTCTTAATAAACTAAGTTTGGGCCTAGACGGAAAATCCGGTCTAACCCCCCAAACGGGAACCCGATTGGAGTCCGGTCTTTCTCCACAAGTCTTCGTGCCTAGGCGGTCGTGTGTGCCAAGTTTCGCTGCTAACCGACGCCGTTTTTGGAGATTTGGACGTTAACACCTTTCCAAATCAAATTTCTTAATAAACTAGTTTATGCCTAGACGAAATCTGGCTCAAACTCCCAAAACCGGGACGATGAGTTCCGTCGTTCTCCCACAAGTCTCTCGTGCCTAGCCGGTCGTGGTGTACCAAGTTCGTTCAAACCGACGCCATTTGGCGATTTTGGGGCATCAACACCTCAATTTCAAATTTCTTAATAAACTAGTTTGCCTAGACCGAAATGCGGCTCTAAAACCAAATCGGGAACCCGATTGGAGTCCCTCTTCTATCTTAACAGTTGTGGTTACAAGTTTCGTGCTAACCCGATGCCATTTGGAGATTTGGGCGTCAACACCTCCAATTCAAATTTCTTAATGAACTAGTATGCCTAGAGTGAAATCCGGCTCTAACTCCCAAAACGGGAACCGATTGGAGTTCCGTTCTTCTCCCACAAGTCTCTCGTGCCTAGGGATCGGTGTCAAGTTTCGTGCTAACCGAGCGTTTGGTGTTTTGGGCATAACACCCCGAATTCAATTTTGTTAAGAACTAGTTTGCTAGTTGAATATCCGACTCTAACTCCAAATCGGGAACCCATTGAGTCCTGTTTCTGCCATAAGTCTCTCGTGCTAGGCAGTCTTTTTTCCAAGGTCATGCTAAACCGACGCCGTTTGGTGATTTTGCGGCGTCAAACACCTCCAATTTAAGTTTCTTAAGAATACTGAGTTTGCCTAGAGGAAATCTGGCTCTAACTCCCAAACTGGAACCCGATTGGGGTCCGTATCTTCTCCCACAAGTCTCTCGTGCTAGCGATCGTGTTCCAAGTTTCGTGCTAAACCGATGCCTTTGGTAGATTTTGGTGCATCAACACCTCAATTCAAGTTTTTTAATGAACTAGTTTGCCAAAGTGATATCCGGACTCTAACTCCCAAACCGGGAACCCAATTGGAGTCCTGTCTTCTCCCAAGTCTCTCGTGCCTAGGCAGTCGTGTGTGCCAGGTTCATGAAAACCGACGCTGTTGTGATTTTGGGAGCGTTAACACCTCCAATTCAATTTCTTAAGAAACTAGTTTGCCTAGAATGAATCCGGCTCTAACTCCCAAACTAGGAACCCGATTGGGTCCAGTCTTCTCCCACAAGTCTCTCGTGTCTAGGCGGTTCAGTGTTGCCAAGCTTCATGCTATAACAACGACCGTTTGGAGATTTTGGGGCGTCAACACCTCAATTCAAATTTCTTAATGAACTAG